TGTGGCCGTCCCTGTGAGGCCTTGGAGACTTGAGTTTCTTTCTCCTGAGCATGACTGGTGTGGAAACTACTGACTGTTTTCTCCTCTGCCACCACGAAGCATGCCAATCAGATGGGTTTATGGAACATACCGGCAAGCATCTGGACACCTTAGCACCCATCTCTTCCACTTCTTCCCTCTCAGTGGCTGCTTCCTGTTACTTTCCAATTGTATTTTAAATGGCAGCTCAGGCAAAGACCAGAAAGGCGGATGCTTTCTCGTTACAATGACATTTGGAGGACTGGGGATGAGGTTCAGGAGGGAGAGTGCTTGCCTAACACGCACAAAGGCCCGGGTTTGATTCCCACCACTGCATACACCGAGTGTTCACCATGATTGCAATCCCAGCGCTAAGGATGTGGGGGAGGAGGCTCAGGAGTCAAGGTTATTCGGAGGCCACAGGAGACTCTGAGGCCAGTTTTGGATATAAGAAACTTGCCTCAGCAAACAAACACAAACAAATAGAAGGAAGAAAATAATATATCCTGGCATAAAACACATGAAGCCCATTGTCCAAATCCCAAGTCCTGTTTGTTCTCTGACTCTAAAGACAAAATTTCATTCTCCTCAGAGGGACTGAACAAATTATAAATGAAAATATGGCTATTCTCATGGTACCACTGAGTAGGCTACCTGATAATCCACTCCCTCTACCCCCCCAAGCCCCATTTTTTGAAACAGAGTTTCTTTGTGTAACAGCCCTGGCTGTCCTGGAACCCACTCTGTAGACCAGGCTGGCCTTGAACTCATAGAGATCCGTCTGTCTCTGCCTCTTGAGTGCAAGGATTAAAGGTGTATGCCATCCTTTTTTTTTTTTTTAAACCCTGATAATTCTTTTTTGTTTGTTTGTTTTTTTGTTTTTTGAGACAGGGTTTCTCTGTGTAGCTTTAGAGCCTTTCCTGGAACTGACGCTATAGCCCAGGCTGGCCTCGAACTCACAGAGATTCTCCTACCTCTGCCTTCTGAGTGCTGGGAATAAAGGTGTGTGCCACCACTGCCCAGCAACCCTGAAAATTCTTAATATGAGCCCTCTGGGGACTACAGGCTTGAAAGAGACCCTGGAAAATGTCACTTTGCCATGTTCTTACCCTGGTAAGAACATGTTCCTGAGAGTGTTGGACCCGTGGACATGCTCCTACCAGCCTGCATCCTCTCAGAGGACAAGGCTCTGAAGACGGCTTTGGGCTCACTTTGTTGGACTAATGAACATTTATTACTTGTATCTTTCCTCTTGTGTAAAGGGAAGGTAAGTGTGTGCAGGGAAATCTTGTTGAGCCTTGTCCTCTTTTCACTCTGTGAGTCATGCTCTTTCGAAGGTCAAAGCGCAGCGAAACACTGTTACAGAAATCCTCTGCTTAAGACGCACTTAGGGAAGGCTGGATACAAGAACCCATCCCGGAACATCATCCCCCTCATGACTCAGCTTTAGTCATGGACATTTGCTAAGAAGCGGTAGATTCCATGAGAAACTTGGTTTAATAACATCTCCACTGCTCTTCCTAGGAAAGTTACACTGTGCATAAGCTGAAGAAACAGGAGAAGTCTAGAAGCCTCACAAACTCAGAGGAGGGATATTTACTGTAATTGTGTAAGATCATAAATATTTTTATAAGCCAACTTGGGGCTGTGGGATGGATATACTTATACATGGAAAATGTTTTTGAAAAATAGATTTTGTAATTAAATTACTTCCTCTGCTTGATAATGTCTTCGCTCTAGAACAACAGCTCTCAAATTGGAGCATGAATTGGAACCACCTGGAGGGCTTGTCAAGCCCTAAATTGCATCCTAGCTAGTCCACTGTGATGTCAGCACTGGTGGTTTGAGATGACCCTTGGAGAAGTATTGATTGAAAAGATTATAGAATATTGAAAACCTGGCTGCACATGAAAAATTCCTCGGCGGCAGAGCTCTAAAATCATACTATACGCTTGAGCACCCAAATCAATTGAATCATAATGTTATGTGGGGGAAGCCTGTGTTTAGAATGTCCCAGAAGTAACCGGAGTATTCTGATCTGTAGTCAGAGTTGGCACTCTTTGTTCTGGATGAAGCTTAGTGACTTAACTGCCTTCAAAAGTCACGGAATCAGCTGGCAGTCGGTGCCTGGAAGGATTAGCAATGCCAAATGTGGTTGGTGGGCTGTGCACTGGCCCTGGGTGCTTGTGGAGCGCAGATACCCACTCCGCGTGCCGTGTGGCATCCTGCTAGGCCAGTGGGAAATGGCTTCTTGAGGGAGTCTGTAGTCTGTGCTATCAGCAAGATTGCAAAAGGCTCTCAGGGAGGTTTCCCTCTGTCTGATAACAAGTGGGCAGCCTGAGCTGGGGATGGTTCCCACTGTGCTCTGCTGTGTGATAGCCAGCCTGTCCAAGCCGGTGGACAATGAGTCACTTCAGAGCTTCAGGAAGAAAACAGAAGATAAGTATTCATTGCTTTCTCCATCGTTTTCTCTCCTGTGCCCCCACCAGCCGTCAGTTCAAAGACGACAGAATGACCCCTGTGTTTACAGGAAGTTAGGTGGAGTTTTTAAATTTATAGGTCAAGGCTGGTGGTGGGGTGAAGAGAGTCCTAGAACTGAAGTGGGGTACACTGGAGTCAAGAGCCCATTCTTCCGCTGACTTTGGTGTTATCCATCCTTTTGGAGCTTTAGTCTACTCCATAAAACCAAGAGGGACAGAGGTGGTGGCGGACCATAGTTTAGCATGGTGACTGTGATGGAGGTCTCTCATTTAGGAAGCTCAGGGGTTCTTTGTGAAGGCGTCCACCCAAGATTCTTGTACTTCCTAGGCAAGCACTCTACCGATAAGTCATGTCCTTGCTCTGATGAGGGACTCTGCGCTCCCACTTCTAGAATCAGCTCTGCTAGATTTTGGCTGTGTGTCTGTAAGCAAGAGCCGTCATTCTCCATCTGTGCAAGGGAGACTGCCATGAGGATTGAAAAGCGAGGCAAATCCCTCACAACAACTTGTAAATAGTGCTATACTGTTACTTACTTCTATGAGCCACAGGGTTTGTATATAAGATTCAATTGTTCTTTTCTTTACTATGTTTCACTTTTTAAATTAAGAAAAAAATCATCTACAGTGTCTTCCTAAGCAAAAGCATTTGTGAAATCACAGGATTCCCACATAGGGAAGTTTTTATTTTTTGTTATTTGTGTGTGTATAAGAGTAGGACTATAAAGCATTCTAGAAAGCTCCCGTAAATAGTCCCTGCACTGCAGTGTGACTCCTGGGACGGGCACCTGGCCGTGGGTGACCCCGGCCTGCCTGCAGAAGCCCTCCCAGCTGTCCGATGACCCTGTCCACATGTGTTGATATCTATGCCTTCATTCACTGACAGCCACGTAACTAGAATCTTTTTTTTTACCCACTTCAGTCCCTTCTGTCCAGAGCAGTCTTCCCATTGGCTAGCTACAGTAGTGTGTAAATGAGAGTTTGTTACTAAAGCGTATAAATGGAGAAAGTCTTGATGAGCCAGTGGAGTCCTCTCGAGAAATCCCCCGAAAGCTGAACAGGATTAAACTAGAGAGTGAGAGCTTGGACAGAATGTTTTGGAAAGATGCACTGTGCCTGGAGAATGGGGAACCTCCAGGAGAAACTTGCCCTTTCTCTTGGCTGCTGGTTTTCCCGCCTCCATCTCACTAAGTCTTCCCTTCAGGCCCCACACATCCTATTTCCTCCAAGCGCTTTCCGGCCAATCTCAATTTTGTCTCCTCTGAAAAAGTACTTCACAATAATTTAAGAAACACTTCCTGAGCATGTCCCAAGGCACTCTGTTCTAGGCACACATTGGACACCGACATCCCCTGACCTCAAGTAGTGGACAGGCTGCTAATCAACGTGAGTGTCTGTCTCCTTAACCTGGTGAACTGAGCCATGGCTGTCCTTGCTTCAGGCAGGAAATGCCGTGTGTGTGTGTGTGTGTGTGTGTGTGTGTGTGTGTGTGTGTGTGTGTGAGATGCTCCTGCTCTGCCAAACTTCCTTCGCTAAGTATTCGTTACTGGAGACCCCCTGGGCTACCAAGGACTTAAGAACAGCCACAAATGAACTTTAAATTTGCTTAGATGCCCCTCTCAAGTTATTCCGATCCATCCCCAGCTGCCTCAGAAACACCGGCAATGGTTAGATATGACCAACACGGAGCCAAAGTGCATTCAATACTAATTGATCACAAAGTCAAATCAGAACTCTTGAGAAAGTATGGGGCTTCTTAAAGTCAGTGACAGTGAGTTCTGAGGACAGCATGGCTTTACACCAGGAGATATGAAACGGAGGCTCTAACAGAGTTAGGTCACTCATCAATGACAGATGGAGGTCAGCAAGAATGAAGACAAGATGGACACCTTCCATTGGCATTTCTTAGGGTAACACAAGGACCTTGGGGGAAAATCTTGAATAGTTACAAAAGCTAGAATGAACCGAGCGGTGTAAAATGGTACCATGATAAAATTGTATCAGAAAAATAATGCCCCAGTCCACACTTGGCTCAGGCTTTGTTTATGTAAAAAATCAGACTGTATTGACCTTTTAGTTTAATTTGGTCAAATTAAGATCAACGAATTCTTTTATAATTGACCATACTTTTTGGTGCCTAAGAGGACTCCAGCCAACCTCCCCCACATGCTATCATGCTTCCCTCTGGTACTTTTTAATGGGCATTCATTTTAATCAAACCTTTTCTGGCACTAATTATTCTCACCCAAGAAGAACTTTCAGTAATTAGGCATTAGTGAAGTAATGGATTGATGAGCATCCTTCTTCCAGGACCATGACCAAGGGCATATCAGGCAGAACAGTGGTCACTGGCTTTATTGACCAATGAAGCAAGCATGGGTCTATAGAACCAAGCCACTTTCTCTAAGAATGGAGGTGTCTTGTCCAGTTAGGGCATAATGTTGGGATAAGCCTGTTCAAGACCTTAAAAAGGGGACGCCCACGGCTCCAGAGGACATTGCTTACCCACAAAGCACCAGACGGCAAACCGGATCCACGTGATGGTGGAGAGCTTGAGCATGAGATAGATATTCACCAGCATGGCAAAGGCAGGTACAAAGGGGAGGCAGGGGGCCATGTACGGCAGCTTCTTGGGGTTCTCTGGCTGCTGCAAGATTACAAACACCAGCACACTGATGAGCAGCACCATCAGAACAACCAGAAGGATGGCCCACCAGCTCTGGCCCGAGATGTAGTCGGAGCCAAAGATGATGAAGGAGCAGAAGATGAACATGAGGATGAAGAGTAGGAGCACGCAGATGGTCACCGTGTGCCCTGTTGCTGCCGTGGGCCTGTCCATTTTGCCTGGAAGGCCCAGCCGGATTCTCATCGTGTAGTAGCGAGGTCCAATCAGCTTCTTCAACTTGATGAGATAGATGTTTTCTGATTCATCGGCTTCTATGCCTGTGGTCATGTCCACAGTGCCGTAGTTGGGGTGGTTGACATTGTAGGCAGACTTATCGGACTTCCCTATGAGCATCTCATTGTCTCCCAAGGACGGCAGGTTCTTGGCCCCACAGGTGTTTGTGGCAGGGCTGGAGAACTCTTCCCCTTCACTCACAGGAGAACACGTTTCTTTCTCACAGTCAGCCAGGATGCCTTCCTTCTTCTTGGTGTGTTCCTCAGACAGGAACTTGACAAAACCATCAATGTCGCTCTCGGGTTGGTATCGAAGGAGCAAGACGCAGACAGAGACCAAGGTGTAGGCGAGGAGTGTGCCGATGGACATCATCTCTATCAGGTCCCTCAGGCTGACCAGCAGTGAGAGGAGAGCTGCTAGGAATCCAGACACGATGCAGGCCACCACTGGTGTCTCTGTGTAGGAGCTCACGTGAGCCAGGAACCTGGAGGGAAGGTGTAAGCAGAGTTAAGGGTCACAGTACCCATGGTGACTGCTTCTAACATACCAGCATGTTAGAACTGCAATGTCAACAGCTTGGGGTGGGTAGCTCCTCCTGCCCTGCCCTTCCGATTAACTTGTCTGCTACACTAGTCCTACAGTTTGGCTTGTGGGACATCATTAGAGAATTCACCTTAATTCCTGGATATGAAGCCTTAAAAAACCCCCGAAACCAAGGGGTCCTATTCATTATATGACAGGAAGGACTGATTGACTCTAGGAGGTCTGTAGAAATCCACATGGAAGCTGGAAAACTTGTCAATCTGCAGCATTACCAGTTCTTGCTGGGAAGGAACATGCTCACAAGCCCTTCCACATCAGAGTTTCTGGAGGTGATGTCCAGCCAACTGTACTTTAAAAGACACCTCAAGCTTTCACACCTGAGACCACCGCCCTGCAGCATAAGGACAGGGATCGAGTTGGTAAAGCGGCACAGTGGAGGGGCTGGTGACACAGACCAAATTCACCTGGAGGTGAGAAGGGAACCGGGGTGGTGAAAACACAGCCCCTCTGCAGCAGGCCCCGCCGGCCTGAGAGAGGCTCCTCTGCCCTCCCCTCCCCTCTCCCGGCCCTGCCTCCCCCATTCTTCATCATTTCTCTCCTCTGAATCACACAGAACGGTTAAGTGAGCCAGGGCCCACAGCGTCTTTCCTCTTTGGTTTCTATTTATTTATTTATTTATTTATTTATTTATTTATTTATTTATTTATTTATTTATTTATTTATTTATTTATTTATTGCAGGAAATTTTACCGATGTGTGAAGCTGTGAGCTGTCCCACCACCTCAGCCCTGTCTCGATCTACCCAGCATCCCAGCGCAGCTGCTCTAGCCTGGTGTAGACTCAGGGAAGGGGCAGGAAGTGACAGCCAGTGGCAGAAATAAAGGCCCTGAGCCTGTTCTCTCGACCCCTCTGAGAGCTGCCTGACCCCCACGACAGGCACTGGAGATCAAGAAAAAGGGCATGTCCAGTTTGGTCAGTGGGAGACAGACCACTCCATGGCTGCCCCAAAGGCTGGAACTTCACAAGTATTGCTGCTGTGAAAAGTCTGAGGATCAGGGATGGAGGGATGGCTCAGTGGTGAAGAGCACAGGCTGCTTTTCCTGAGGACCTGGGTTCAGTTCTCAGCGCCCACATGGCGGTTCAGTTCTCAGCGGCCACATGGCGGCTCACAAGCATCTCTGACTCCGCTCCTAGGGGATCTGATGCCCTCTACTGGCCTTTGGAAGTACCAGATACGCATGTGGTGTATAGAAACAAGCCAAACGCTCACACACAATTAAACAATGAGAGTCTGAGTTCCAGGCCAGATAGTTCTGGTTTCAAGTTCTGGCCCACCACTCATCAGCAGCAAGGTTTGGTCAAGGCCCTTCTACCTCTTCAGTTCCTGGTGTACTCACTGGACACAGCACACAGACCACCCAGCTGCACCCATGTTGATAACTGTCCACAAACAACAGTTACTGTAACAATCCCCCTGTTATCATTAGAGGATTTATCGCCTCTCTGACTGTTGGATGTTTTCAGCTTCAGGGGGGCTTTGGAGAAAGGAGCCTGGTCTCACTATGAGGCAGGCCTAAGGTGCCCCTGAGTTCTTCCTTCTGGAAATACCCTCGCCTTCCACACAGTGATTTGGACCAACTGCCCCCACAGGGGAAATGCATGTCAGCGGAGGGTGAAGGGTTCACACCCCTTGGTTCTGGACGGAAGGACCTAGGGTTATCTGAGAGGCCATTTCAGAGGCTGAGCTCTTGAAACCCAGACTTTGACAAGATGTCAGTCTTTAGAAAAGGCAGCCATCAAGCTGATCTCAGTGGGTGACAGTCCTCTTGGACAGCAGCAGCAGAGTGGAACCATTTCCTGGGGACCCTTACCTGAAAAGCAGCCCATCACCAGCCATGGCGTAAATGACCCTGGGCATGGGGAACAGAGAGCCCAGCAGGCTGACTGTCAGTCCCGCCACCGACCCGACGGCCACCACAAACTTGGCGGCATGGAAGCCATGGGCCACGAACATCTCCATGAGAGGGGACTCCGTGTCGATGGCGTAGTACGGCACCATCAGAGTTAAGATCATGCTCACCTGTCAAGACAAAAGAAGACGGACTGGAGGCAGAGGGGACGGACAGCATGGGCGGGTGACCCCGACCTGAAGGCAGAGGCCGCTGTGGCAGTTTGGAACCATTAGCTGGCACGTGGCTTTTATTTAGACCATTTGGTCTCCGTGTTTTCTCCCTACTTTCACTTTTAGTGGTTGGGACCAAGTAATCTCCAAAATGTCTCCGTGGCCTTTTCCTATCTGAGGAAAACCCCACAGATGTTTCAAGCCTCACAGAAACAGATCTGTTCTCAGACATCCCCAGATGGAAGGCGCCTCAAGTGCCTTGCCCCTAAGGTCAAAGCTCTCACTTCTTCTTCCTCTTCTTTTTCGTAAAGCATTTGTGTGTTTTTGAATGTGTGTGTGTGCGTGTGTGTATGATTGCGCGTGTGCGCGTGTGTAAGCTGAAGCACATGGTAGGGCAGCTCAGTTCTCTTCTGTCATGTGGCTTGTGGGGATCCACCTCGTATCTGCTTGGCAGCGAGCACCTTTATTCCCTGGGCTATGTCACCAGGACAAGGACAAGGCTTTACTTCTATTATTTCAGGACCCACTGGCTCTGGTCTGTCCTCCTTCTCACTCCCAGCCTCAGAGGTCAAAACACCGAAAGTGTTTGAGACAATGAGCTGACGAGGTCACAGTAAGGACTCATATTTCATTTCTTCTCTCTGGCTTAGAGAACTGTGGCATCAGGATGGATCCAGTCGAGCTCTGTGAAGCCACTGTGTCTCTGCTTGTCTGGAGACTCCTGTAGGAGTCCTGTTTTCCTTTCTATGTCAGAGATCTGCTGTAAAATTGATTTCTCTGATATTAACCCTAAACAGGGCAGCCAGCAGTCACACGTGACTCCTCCTGGCTCGTAGAAAACAACTCTGACACCAAGAAGGGAATTGAACGCCTGAACTGGATGGAGGTCACATTAGACCACTTCATTGCCTGCTCCTCAGGAGCCAGGGTCCCCCAGGGAAGCCATGGGTCACCAGGGAAGGCAGCAGAATATGCCGTGGAGCCCAGCACAGTGACCGTTTACTGACCAGTACAAGACCAAGGGGTCCCGGAGGCACAGCTAAGGGACCTGAAAGACAGGGCCCCCAGGGCTGTCTCTCGTCACATTGCCTGTGAGGATGCAGCAGAGTGGCTGGAGTGTGATTGGTTCTCATAGCAAATCTCAGGGTCTCCTGGCCACACAGATCAGCATGGGGTAAGCTGCTAGCCTGGTAGATACAAAGCGTATTCTGCAATCTATAACGTGCTATTTAAGGGAGGAACCGTGATGGTAAGCTTCTCTGTGTGTGCATGCTGCCAGGGTCTACCTCTCCAGGGAGGAGTGGAATGATGAAAATGTGGACGGAGACAGACAGAGCAGAGGAGATCTCTTGCTCCTGCCCTGCCACCTCCCACCTCCCACAATGTAGGATAATCAGGGTCTGGATAATACGAAGACACTTGAGTGTGTGTTCATGGAGGGAGGTGATAATTGACCCATTCATTCATAAGATGTCTGGGTAGGCAACTGGATTTCCATCAATAGACAATCTTGTTTTTCTTGCCTCATCATTTGGTCTGCATTCCTTAGGTAATGGCTCAAGATGACTTTTTGGAGTAATGAGGGCTGGCCAGTCTGATAGGCTGTACCCTCTCCTGAGTTATTCTTAATTTCCATGACTTTGAGCTCATTAGACATATGTGCTTCTGCAGGTTAGCATATTGGAATCTTTAGGGGTGGCATGCCCCCTGGATGCTGTCTTTTTCCTGAGTGTGATGACCCAGACAGACTCTCAGGACCAGGGAGTGTCCATGTCCTGGTGGCTGGGCAGATGGCTAGGAGCTAAGAAGGTGTTGGATGAGGCTAACAATTTCTGTGAGGGAAATTCTGCCATGAGGACTGAGAAGGAAACATTAGACGTGTATGTGCGAGTGTATTCATGCGTCCTGAGGAGACCAGGCTAGAGGCTTCTCTCTGAGGGAAACCCCGAGGGTGAGTTTGAGCTAGTGTTAGGAGACCGAGCTGAAAAGAACTGCATTTCTCTCCAGATTTCAGGGCAAGAGTGTCTCCCAAGGACAGCGTGTTCTCGCCGCCTCTGTGGGGGAGCCTTGCCTCTCCACTGCCGGGAAGCGCCCAGAAGACAGAAGAGCATTGAGGCTGTGCACAGAGGCCACCCGTTACTGCCAGCCTATGACCTGAGCAGCTTGGACGACAGCCCGCTCCTTGCACACTGTCCCCAGGCATAGGGAAGGGTAGGGATGGAGACTTGAGAGGCACAGGCTGAGGTGAGGGCTTGGGGCCTTTCTTTCCTTCCAATTTGAGGTCCCGAGTTTCTTCTTGTCATTGATAGGCGGAGCTACAGGGGACACAAGGAAACCCCATGCAAGCACCAGCAGGGAGTGAGGAGAAGTCTATGTCCTGAGAGAGGAGGTGTCAGTCCTACAGCCACACTTGCTGCTGCTGTTGTGTGTGTATGTATGTGTGAGTGTGAATGTGAGTGTGTGTAAGGGTGCGCAGATGTGTGTACAGATTGTGTAGAGGACAACCTTAAGTATTCCTCAGGTACAGTCTGCCATTTTGTTTTTGACAGGGTCTCTCCTAGGCTTAGAACTTGCTAAGCAGGTGAAGCTGGCTGGCCAGTGAGCCCCAGGGATCTGTCTGTCTGCTTCCCCGGTGCTGGGATTACCAGCACACACAACCATGCCAGACTTTTGCTTCTTGTGTGAGTTCTCAGGATTGATCTCATGTCCTTGAACTTGCACTACCATACTGAACCTTCTCCTTAGCCCTAGAACCACCTTCTACAATAAAACATAAAGGGTCATGAGGAGGGTCCCATCAGCATTTGATACTTACAGTCACATACGCTGTCAGGCAGATGACCAGGGATGCAGTGATAGCATAAGGGATGGATGTGTTGGGGTTCTGGGCTTCCTCTCCGGTGGTGGCAATAATGTCAAAGCCAATGAAGGCATAGAAACATGTGGCTGCTCCTTGCAGTACCTGTAACGATAATGGCAGCTGTCAGGCTCAGAAAAGAGGGCAGAACACGGCTTAAATGTGCCCAGAACCGCCCGGTGCTCTGCGGATGCTCCCGAATGGCACAGGGGACCTGTGGAAGAGCTGGCTGTAAGCAGCCAAGTTCTGATCTGCTCTGCTTTGCTGTATGACTGGGCATTTCCTCATGTGTTAAACACAGATGAGAATTTTATGGCTGAATTAAAAATTGGGTTAGTCAACATATTCAAATTCTTGTTGAAAAAAAGAATCGGTGTGTTGGCTCTCTGCTGTTGGTGCAGGAGGCATCGAACCTAGGGTCTCACGCATGCTAGTGAAGTTCTCTACCACTAGCTGCCTCCTTCAGGGTGTTTCCTGTATAGTTTGTATTTTTTGTTTAATTTTCACCTCTCAGTGCTCAACCATGATGTAAGAGATTTTTGGAAATGTGGAAAGGGACTTTTGACCACCATGGGATACATTGGATGTGAGCTGCTGGCCTTCTGTGGATGAAGTGCATACACTTCTGCATGAAGCATTCTGCCCTGAGAGCCCTGTGGTAATGTCTAGACTGGAGGCCAGGCAAGCTTTAGATTTCTAGTGCCTTTAAAGGGAAGATGGGAGGATGATGGGATTGTTTGACTGTCTGCTCCCTTTGTGTTTGAATGACCCTGTTGGGTATGAGGCAGGCGGCTGGGCAAAGCTGGGGGGATGCCATTTGCTCAGAAACTTTGGCTGAAGTCTGTGTCTGCAGGATTTTAGGTGACTCTCAGGGTGGTTAGGCCTTCAGTCAGGCTGTTATTGAAACCCTTCAGGTGGGGACCACAGGACTTTCTTTTAAGTGAGCTTTCCTAGCCTTGATAGTCTCAGCATCAACTAAAGCGAAGATGTGACTCTTCTATTGCTTGGGATGCTCTAGTAGAAGACGATGGTGAGTTCTAGATAAAGACACAAGCTCCGAACTCCGCCAGGGCTCCAGCAGGATAGAGCGTGTGTAGAGAGGACTATCCATCCCCCTTTATAAAGGTCTATAAAGGATGTGCCAAATGCATTCTAGCCCGAAGTGTTAACTTTTAACCTTCCCCAAGGACTTCTTCACAAGTGCAAACAAAAATACTAGATACTACAACCAGCAAAATGCATCACAAATTTCAATGTCATCTTAGGCGGCCCAGAGTAACCTTTGCTCATCTGTAAAATGAAACAGTTTCTTACGGAGAGTCCCAGCTGGCATCTCAGACTCCAGTCTCCTATCCTAGGAGGTCTGATTCTGGGGTTAGTGGTATTCTGGGAAATATGTGACTTTGTCTGGAAGAGTCACATTTCAATTGCCACTAGCTGTTAACTAAATTTTAGGATTTCTTTGATGATGGTTGTACTATGATTTTTGTCACCAGTAGAACTAGACATTTTCACATCATGAGACTTTTGCAGAGATCTTGGAAAATTGTTTATGCTGTTCTAAATTATGGTAGTTCTTGGATATAGATATTAATGAAGAAGAAGCATACTATTATTATGACACAGTTTAAAATTATGTATTGCAACAGAATTGCTTTAAAATTTCTGTATAATTAGGTTCTTTATCTGAAACTTAATTCTAATAAGAGAATCATAAGCTTTACCATAGTCAAAGGGAACTAAAGCACAAAAAGCTAAGAACTGCTCTACTTGAGCAAACCAAGTGGACACAAGCTGTCCCTGGGAGAGAAGAAACCGAGTTTCCCTCAGCAGAGCCCTCAATCAGGCTATGGAAAACGATGTCAGTTGCCAGATGAAGGAAGGGAACAGATTTTACTGCATCATGGAAGCAAGTTTGCCCTCTGGATGCATGCTCGTTTTCTCTTGTCTGGAGAATATTACTGATTTCCAAGGCTGAATATATGCTGGGACTGCAGCTTGTGAACTTGTCTTGATCATAGAAAAGCCATGCCTTAAGGTAGGTCTTATTTTTCTTTCTTTAACAAAATTTTTTCCTCATATATGTGTGTGTGTGTGTGTGTGTGCACGCGTGCACGTGCACATATGTATATGCACATATGTGCACACACATAAACATAAAACATGCATACACACACACACACACACACACACACACACACACACACACACACCTGTTATACATTTCTGGTGACCTGGCACAACAGCCAGGTAGACTGAGGCGAGTCTCCCTTAGAAGGTGAGAGGGGTGTGAGCCATGCTATGTGAGGAGTGACCAGGAGTCGAGGATGACTGACCTGAAAAGTAGTGGACTCAGTGGAAGTGATGGCAGGTCTCTTTCCTCCATCCTTTTGGAAGCATTAAAAAGACTAACCATGTCTTGACTAAAGTGAAATAAGCATTGTGTGCTCCAAAGGGAAGCTCCAGTGCCATGTGTGCAGTGTGACTGGTCTGCTAGGAGTGTGGACTTTGTAGGCCAACAGACCTTGGTTGGTTGTGTCCTAAACTAGCTGGATGACCTAAGGTAAGTTTCTAGTCTGTTGGAAATAATTTCTTCATGACTAAGATAGCAATAACAACTCACAGGGTTGTTTCAAAGAGTAAATGAGATAAATTATATCACATAATATGGTTTGTGCTAAAAATATTGGCCTTCACTATCTAATACTATTACTATCACTACTGTAAATTTTTCTAGGGCAAATCAAATCCAAGGGCATGGAGCTCTCCTCCACTTAGAACATGGCACAGCTACACTAGGCACCGCCATGTGCCAAGCACTGTGATTGATAAGGAGAGGAAAGTACTCTGAGCTTGGCCTCGTGGTACTTGAAGTCCTGAGGATGCTTAAGGACCACAAATATAACTTGGACCATAGTAATAAACTGACTAATATTAATAAGCATCTATATTATTTGCAAAACACAAATACTTCTATTTTCCAAATGAATAAAGGCCTGGATGACAATTATTGATGATTAGACACTAGAAAATGAACTGTGATCAAGTTGGGAAGAGGGAAATACACTTGTAGAGACAGTGAAGATTAGTCTGAATCCGCATGTGTAGAATTAGGAAGCAATGATAGTTGAAGAAAGACCAGAGCCATCAAAGACTTGGCATTTGAGAGTCCTTCTGCATTCAACTGGTAACAGAATTCAACACAGATGATGTGGGGGAAATGAAACTAATGAAGGGAATACAGGCAAGCATGAGGCGGGTCCAGGCAGCTTCAACTAGGGAAGTTAAGTCAACCATTGCCATCTATAAGTTTAGAAGTCCAGGGCAGAATGGTATTCCTGGGATCCAGTGAGATCTAAAAATGGGGAGCAGGGCTGGCCAGCAGGAGCACACCCCCAGTGTGGAGCCAGGGCCAGGCAGGAGTGAGGAGGTAACACTATGACCTTGCTCTCTTCTTGTCTTCTGATGGTCTGGTAATATCTCCCATTGGCTAAGCCCTACAGGCTGGACAAGGAGGAAGTCTGGAGCACAGGACAGAAGAAAAAGTGGAGGTAGACCAGGGTGAAGGAACTGGGGAGTCTAACACACAAGGCCAAACAGGCTCTGGCCTAATAAGACAGGTGAAATAAACAAAATCAGCAGAAAGATCAACTTTTTAGTTGAGTTAGTTTTTATTTTGTTTTTGAGACAAGGTCTCCCTATGCGATCCTGGCTGCTCTTGAAGTCATGACCCACTTATCTGTGTCTCTGGGCTGCTGGGATTATGGGTATACACCATCATGTTCAGCTATCTGATAAGATTATTCTCTCTCTCTCTCTCTCTCTCTCTCTCTCTCTCTCTCTCTCTCTCTCTCTCTCTCTCTCTCTCCTCTCCCCCTTTGTCTCTTGTAAACAAATGTGAGGACAAAAAAACTCAAAAACAAAAATGTGAGGAGGTGTGATCATGAAAGCTGATTTCTGCCTCACTTTCCACAGAGCTCATCTGGCCAGTGGCATTTATGGTTGGGATACCTGCAAAGACATGAAAAACCTACATGCAGTGGGCCTGTGCGGATGCTTGCCCAGACGACTCAGAATGGGCTTACCCTGCCAACAGCTCTGCAGAGAAGCATCACAACACATGGAGGGCTCTAGCTTGCTTACTTGTCAAAGGCACTGTCCCGAGTGGCTTGCTACTCAGTGTGCAGGGTCCCTAAAAGCTGTGCCTCTCCTCGATGGGCGGCTGTGCCACACACCTTTAATGCGAGCACTTGCGAAGTGGAGGCAGGCGGATCTCTGTGAGTACCAGGCCAGCCTGATCTACAGAGCGAGATCCAGGACAGGCACCAAAGCTACACAGAGAAACCCTGTCTTGAAAAACCAAAAAAAAAAGGGCTGGAGAGATGGCTCAGAGGTTAAGAGCATTGGCTGCTCTTCCAGAGGTCCTGAGTTCAATTTCCAGCAACCACATGGTGGCTCACAACCATCTGTAATGAGATCTGGTGCCCTCTTCTGGCCTGCAGGCATACAGGCAGAACACTGTGTACAAAATGAATAAAAAAAAAAAAAAAAAACAACAACAAAAAAGTTGTGCCCCCCAGGTTTTTATGATGTTTGTGAGGCATTAGGTTGAGGTGGGCTTCCTGTGTTGTCCTGAGAAGCTTCAGACGTTAGAAAATAACTAGGCCCCTTTGTCTAATTACTGCCAGGCCAACAAGACAAAATGACAATGCTGATGGCATTCTGAACCACCCTCGTGGCCTGGCTCTATTAGCAGCCTGTCCACAGTGACAGTGGAATGTGTTAATAGGTTCCAACCAATGGATTCAGACCAGGAGAGTATGGAAAATAATAGCTTTCCTTCGGAGGCCTTCAGAATTCCTCGCAAATTCTTACTTATGGACTATTTTCCTGGGAGCTATTTGTGCTGGTAAAATGTCTTATTTGGTTAAAGAAAAACCATAAGATAGCATCAAGAACAAATAACATAAAGGGCGCCCACATCCAACAACGTCCAGGGACTGAGGAATTGCAGATGGAAGCCGGGGTTCAACTGAGGGCCAGAGTCACTTGATATAGGGGAAAATGTTTGTTGTTCTTAAGCTCTTCAAGACCAAAGAAGCATTTGACCCAGAACCTTTAAGTGAGTAAACCATTCCTTAAGCTATTTTCTTTGGAAGGAGGTGGCTGGAAGAGGCTTGTGAGGGCCCCATTGCCAGAGGACTGGTTGTTCATTAACCCTTTCATGGCACTTGCAAGTTGTGCTTACACCAGTGGGATGATGTCCTTAGGAAATCCTGCCTCATTTCCCCTTCTACCTAAAGCACAGCGCACCCCAAGTTACTGGAACCCTGTACTAGTCCCCTAGTTAGCAGTGGGGTTCGGGGTCCCCTAAGCAGCATAGACATTCATGCAGCTGCTGAGTAAGAAAACATTTTCGCTGACAATTGTTAGATAAGAGTGGAGATACATTTACTGCTGTGGTAGTGATCGAGCCATGAGAAGGTGCCAGATGTTTACCATACGTGATTTAAATTTACAGTGGCCCTGCTGGACAAGAAAAGTGATCTGAAACCAAAGTTGAGAAAGAGCAAGGCCAGGTTGTTCACTGGGGAGCGCGTGCAGCAATCCAAGGCCAGGCAGAGGATGGGAGGCTGAGTCACCAGCTCGCATGCTGTCCGTCGCTCTCAGATAACACTTCCTGTCACAGCACAGGGATGTACATTTGTTTCTTTCTGGGATAAGAGATACACATTAAAAATCCAAATGCCCAGGCAGGCTTCTCTAGTGGCCAATGACAAATCTACTCAGATTACTAGGTGAGGTCAGTGGCCAGAGGTTTAAACAGAGCTGGCTGGTCTCAAGGGGTTTAAACCAGGGGAGGGTGGAGTCAATACGGACTTGCTTCACCCAAGACTGGAATTCGATTTCAGCTAGACCGCTTACTAGCATTGGGTGAAACTTCAGCTGTTTCGGCATGAAAGTGGACAGCATTGCTGTTTTTCCTAGGGCTCCCGTGAAGAGCAAATGAAACATGTATTTGAGAGTGCTTGTCACAAAGAGAAGTCATTGCTCCTTTTCTTCTTTACACCTAAATCTAGACCTTATTTTCTTTCTATAAAAGCAAATGAGAATCCAGGGTGCATAAACCCGGGGCCCCAAAGCTGGTCTGATGACTCCTTGAAGCAGTGGCCTCTTGATTGGGAAGGGTGTAGAATCCCTGACGCGGGGAGAAGACACCTCAGCGAGAATGAGGACCCCAGAACAGAGCACCGGAGGAAAGAAAGGGCTGAAAGACGCGTCACTTTCTTCACAACTAGGAAAGGCTGTTCAGAGGCCCTCACTCCTCCTCGTCCTCACAGCGGGTGATGCACACTCAGTCTGAGCGAAGATAAGAACTTGGTATTTCTTAATGTTTCTTTCAGCCCCAATATTCCAGTTCAGGGGTTGGAGAGATGGCTCTGCCCGTCAGAGAAGCAATTGCTCTTCCTTAGGTTGGGTGTTTCATTCGTGGCATCCACATGGCGGCTATCAACCATCTGTAAATCTGGTTCCAGGGGATTTGCTCTCTCTTCTGGTCTCTGCAGGTCAGACTGCATGAACACTGTGGTGCACAAAGACACATGCAGACAAATACCGATGCACGTGAAAAAATTCCAGCATTCTAATTCTTCATGAACGTTTAAGGAAAATATGTAAGATTAGTTACCTTGTTATTATAATTTTGTGTGCATGTGTGTTTACATCTGTGAAGGTATGAGTACGTGTCTGCATGTGTAGTCCCAATATCGTTGTCAAGAGTCTTCCTCTGTTGCTCTTCATCATATTCACTGAGGTAGGGTCTGTCAGTCTAGCCAGCCATCTTGACCTGGGACCCCCTGTCTGTGCCTTCCAATAGCTGGAATTACTGTTGGGCCACCATGCCTGCTTGGCTGGCATGTGTATGGTTATGGGCATTCGAACTTTGGTCTTCATGCTTGTTGCCTAGGCAGCAAGCAATTTCCTGGTGAGCCATCTCCTCAGCCCTCATCGTCTTCATTATTTTTAAGAATACGTAGAGGAGAGGGATCAGCATAGTATACACGGGGTACTAAAACAGAGGAAAGGGCCTTGCGATCCTATAGCCCTTGTCCTGACTAGGTGAAGTGAGATCAAGTGTGTTACCGGTCTCTCAGAGCCTGTGTATGATGGGGATCAAGCGTCACCTGTAAGAGCTGGCTGACATTGACGGAGCAGAACACAGCATGGCAGACATTATTCTCACAGTACCACACAAAGGCAGCCACAAGGCTATCCTTTTCTGCAAGCATTTGCTACAAGTTTGTCTCCTTCCTCGATAACGAGAGGAGCTGAGAACACAGAAGTGAACTGGTGCCCAGTGTCTTCCAGTAAGTCCTCAACCCAGTCATCCCTCACGGTGTGGAGAAGACTGTACCGTGAGAACGCTTTCATGAGTTACAGAAAGAACGCACTTGGGGTCTGGGACACATTCCTTGTTTCCATTCTTATAATTTGTTGTTTCTCTTCTGTGATAGGAAAAGAACAACGTGTATCATAAGAAAATGTAGACTCGGGATCCAACAGTGCTTCTTTGTCCCCCTTCTGGTTTCGACCAGTTTCAGTATTTATTCATTTCAGAGAGGAGGGATGCGCTTCGTGGTTCTGTGGAATTCCTACAGGTCAGCAGAAGACTTGCAATTTTGGCTTAAACGACTTGCTTATTTCTCTGCACCGACTAACATGGCATGGCTTAGAATAAACAGAAGTTATTTTGAATGTTCTCCAAGAGTGATTTCTGATCCCTGGACATCTTGGAGGAAAACCAGTCTAAGCAAAAGCTACAAAAGCAAATTGGGCAGAGTCCTGCACTTGCGCTCTACCCCAGCTCTGGGCCGACCTGCTCTCTGGGGCTCTGGAGAGTCACTCACTTGTGAAATGAGAGGACAGGACCTGAGGACTTCTGAGATGCTGCCATCTAGAAAATTTTTGACTTATGCTCCATCATAAAAAAGTCTGGATTTATTTACCAGTAAATCCGTAAAATAAATATTTTCTGGGCAAACTGCAGAAAAAGTCAGATGGAACTCAGAGCCACCTTAGTGTAAAGAATTTGCTTCCCTGACCTACATTTTTACTGTCACCGGTCCTGGGGGTGGACATTCTTCCCCCTGAGCTCGCCCTCCTGTCCCCAGACCACACTAGCTGGACTGTGCGCCTCTCAGATGGGACTTCAAACTGTCACTCCACTGCTCTCAGACCCCGGCAGGACTCTCTTTCCAGGGTGAGATGTTGGAGTCTGATTACAAATGCTTTTCCCTCTAATTTAACACTGAGGCAAAACTCAGCCCTTTCCCATTCATCCACTCTTCCTGGCTTTCTTTACTAATTTGTCTATTTCTGTGCATGGCGGCTGCTCTTAGCAGAACCGAACTGTTCCTACAGTCTTTGGATCCAATACCCCTGGCTTTAGGTTCTGATTCTACCATTGGCACAGTGCTTAACAGGGGGTCACTGGCCCTCTCTGGGCACAGATGCCTTCATCCTTCGGTCCCAATTGTGAATATTTTCTGCCCAAGGTTATTGTGATGATGTGATGAGGTAATGCATACAGCACTAACATGGAGGTAGGCATGTTGAGCGAGCATACCACATCTGATCTGTTTCTGCTCTCTGTGTAGACTGGGATCTCAGCACATGCCTATGAAACCAGTGAACAAGTTAAAATCTAAAGACTTCTTCAGAACATTCCCAACTAAAAGAGCACATTTTCTTGAAAATGTGTCTTAGACTGTTCCCATCCTGGAAGGCCCATCACAGGGGTGAGGGACTGAACTCACCCCTGACCAGCCGTGGGGCAAGAACTGGCCCTCAGCCCAGTATTTGCCATTGACGAAGAAGAAGCCTGCGATCATGATGAACACCCACACTGCCAGGTTCAGGACATTGAGGACGTTGTTGAAGCCCACGGAATTCTTCACCCCCAGAGCTACAATGATGGTCACAATGACAGCGATCACCAGAGCCAGGAGGTCTGGGTATGATTCTTCTCCTTTTCCTACAGGAGGAAGACATGGTTAGTACCATCCACAGAGAAGGAAGGGCCCATGGACTCACTCTACCCCATTGCATCCGAATTGCTATGACTCACAGAGTAGTGGCTAGTCTGTGAGAAAGAGCAGCGAAGGCTCTCTGCCTGTCTGTCTGTCTTTCTGTCTGTCTCTCTGTGTGTACACATACACATGTCACTGTATGGCCCATAAGCAGGTGCAAGTGTTTATTTGCAAGTGAGGAAGTTTGGAACACAGATAAGGTCACCTGACACCAGAGATCAAAATTTGGATCATGTAATGAGACAGTTGCAAGATACCGGTGGAAGCATGGCAGGTACATGTAAAGTCCGGAGCGTCTTGGGACATTTGTGGCACATATGTGCATATGTCTAACACATTCTGTGAGAACTTCTTTATCTTCCTTACTGTTGGCCTGTAATCTGTAAGATTTATATCCCAGTGTCACAATCTTTCTTTATTAGCAAGTTTCAAAATGTGCATATTTGAAAAGAGTTTTCTTCTCTCCTCTGCAGCGCGGGGTTACACAGAGAGAACGCCCTGTGAACAGGTCCTGCAGCTTGGCTGCCCGTGGGCAGTGGACGCCTGCCCTCTGCGGAGGGGAAGAGGCACTACCCCGGCGGCGGCAGCCAGGGAGCCTGGCTTCCAGCTGTCCTTCTGCCAACAGCCCCCAGTGCGGCCTCGGCACATGGCCTCATCTTTCTGGACCTCATCTGCAAAGCGAGTGAGGCGGATGACTGATTTTGGGTCATTTCAGAATCAAAATGTTATGAAATCAGAACACAGCCACGATCTTTAGCCTTGCTATTGTGGCACTGGGGTGATCAGCAATTTAAAAAGAGGACTTATTTTTATTATTTGTAATTGTCTCTCTCTCTGTGTGCCTGTGTATGAGTCTGCGCACACACGTGCAGGGACCCGCAGAAGCCACATGCCTTGGATGCCCTGGAGCTGGAGTTACAGGAGGTTGTGAGCCACCTGACATGGATGCTGGGAACTAAGCCTGGGTCCTCAGGAGAAACAGCAAGTTCTCTTAACCACTGAGCCATCTCTTCAGCCCTGTTCAGCATTTTTGCCAAATATTTTCTGAGGTAAGTACACTGAAGTCAAACGATTTGACATAGCCTCAGAGTTATTTTTGGAGTCTCTCCTCTCCCATCCCTTTCTCTGTCCCCTGCCCATGTGTGTGTGAACTCTAGGGATTGAACTCAAGGTCTTAAATGTACTGCATAAGCCCCAACTACTGAGTTACATCCCCAGCTGTCTTGGGAAATTCTGAAGCAAGACTCCAAAGCCTCTTCAACTATTACTACAAATCCTGTAAATGTGGAAGGGTAGACCAGGCACTAGGCTGGAGAGCCAGTGGCAAGGGACAGGTGGTCTGTCTCTGGGCATTTGTCAGGTGACCTCTGATCCACTCAGCTCTTGCTCAGTATTAGGATGCCTTGTGGATGTTGCCTGGACTGGAATCATTTTATTCCTTAAATTTTTTATTTGGAGCCGGGTGATGGTGGTGCACGCCTTTAATCCCAGCACTCAGAAGGCAGAGGTAAGTGGATCTTTGTGAGTTGGAGACCAGACTGGTCTACAAAGTGAGTTCCAGGACAGCCAGGGATGTTACACAGACAAACCCTGGCTCGACAAACCAAAAAGAAAAACTTCTTTTTAAAATTTGGAAGTGAAAACACTAGTTATGAGAAATGGGGGAAAATTGACAATGAAATCATGGTGATTTCCCAGTTCCTTTGGTTGCATTAGCTTTATTTTCATGTCGCTTTTGTCAGGGTGCATGTACAGTGCAGTCTGTGCCCTCTGATCTGTGACATGACATATTAGTACACAGTGCATGCTGTGACCTCCTTGGCCATCTTTTTAGTGGTCAGGCACACAATATGTATCCACAATTCACATGGCCATTTGTCTTATTGAAGAATTTTTCAGATTATTATAATTGAGCATCCATAATCTAAAAATCCAAAATTTGAGATACTACGAAATTTGAAACTTTTGAGTGGCTTCCACAATATCCCAAGTGAGAAGAGTCACACGTACAATGAGACTTTGAGTAATATATTGAATAATATTATCTCCAGGCTATGTGTCTAAGATGTATATGGAAAACCAATAAATTTTGTGTTAGACCTGGGTGTCAATGGCCAATCCCAGCATCTTATTGTGTGTATGTAAATATTCCAAAGTTTGAAAAAACTCCAAGGTCAAAAAACTACTGGCCCCAAGCATCTCAAATAAGGGGTGTGCAACCTTTAAAAATAAGACTGGGATGAGTGTCTTTTTGTATGATGTATTCATGGGAATTAGAATAATTCCTTAGAGTGAAGAATGGCTCTGTAAAAACAAAAAGAAGCATTTGAAGTTCTTGACACATTTTTCCAAATTGGAGTGTGTGTGCGTGTATGTGCGTGTGTGCGTGTGCGCACGTGTGTGCATGTGTGTGTGCGTGTGTGTGTGTGTGTGTGTGTGTGTGTGTGTGTGTGTGTGTTTTGGGTATACCAAACCCAGGTCCTCAGGTTGCCCAGCAAGTGCTCTACCCACTGACCCATCTTCCCAGCCTCCAAGTTGCATTCTTAAAGGGGAGTCTGTCCGTCTGGCTCACGAGCTGGCGTGTCAGGGAGGGCTGACGCGGTCTCACCCAGGCCGTTGAGCGTCCCCACTGTGTCCACCATCCAGCGGCTGATGGTGTGGTTTGCCAGGGAGTCGAACATGCTGCTCAGGGCACTGGCACCAGCGGCTGTGCCGATCAGGTACTCCAGAATCAGGTTCCAGCCAATGAAAAATGCCACAAACTCCCCGACAGTGACATAGCTGTAGGTGTAGGCAGATCCTGTGGTCTTGGGGACTCGAACTCCGAACTCCGCATAGCACACACCTGCAAAGGACAAACAAAACAGGAAGTGGGCTCCTGGAGATCAGCTGTGGTCTTGGTGCCTGACGATCTTAAGAGGAGATATTAGGAATCTCCGGGCTGTTAGCACCAGCACTCACAAGCCGCAGGTCACTTGATGATGGGACATGTTCTGTGGAATGTGCTATGAGATGATTTCCTTGCTGTGTGAGTACTGTGGTGTGCTTGCACAAACCTAGCTGGACTAGCCTGCTACCCACTTGTTGTAAACTTGTATATGGAGTGTGGATACACACATCCAAACAAATACATACCGTATAGCTGACTACTCCCAGGGCCGTGATGAACACAGCATCCTGGGACTAACCAGATGCAGGAGGAGACGCTAGACTGAAGAGACACAGTGAACGTTAGCTGTGTGCACTGCTGGGCCATGTGTGTACTTGTGTGCAGTGTGTGCACTTTTGTGTGCAATGTGTGCACTGGTGTGCCATGTGAGCACTTGAGTGCAGAGTGTGCACTGCTGGTGCAATGTGTGTACTTGTGTGCAATGTGTGCACTTGTGTGCCATTTGTGTACTTGTGTGCAATGTGTGCACTTGTGTGCAATGTGTGCACTGCTGTGCCATGTGTGCACTTGTGTGCAATGTGTGTACTGCTGTGCCATGTGTGCCCTGCGGGTGCGATGCGGCACTCTGCTTTACTGTGCACTTCTCCCTTTATAAGTAGGAGTAAACCTGAAAACATTGATAAGAAGACCGCACACTACCCAAAGCCGGCAATGGGTCATTTACTACCTTTCCCAGGTGTTACGACCTGCACAGCTGTGCGTGTTGTGGGGGCCGGCAGAGCAGTGACTCTGAACCTGCACACCACAGATGTGCTGCAGGGCAGACATCACGGGCCAGGGTGGCGGCCTGTCCTAGTCGACAGCAACCTTTCAGCTCCATGAAGTTCTTTGGGACTAAAGTCGATGACTACTAAAACATTGTCACAGGCACAGGACTGGATGTGACACATCCAAGCTGTTACAGACATCTTGAATCTCACCTCCTAGGAACATCGTTTGTTTGTTTGTTTCTTTGGACCTTTTGAGACAGGGTGTCACGGTGTGGTTATTCTAGTTTGGTTTCTGTGGTTGTGATGAAACACTCTGACCAGAAGCCTCATGGCAAGGAAAGGCTTCACTTCCAGGTCACTCATGGGAAGGAAAGGCTTCACTTCCAGGTCACTCATGGGAAGGAAAGGCTTCACTTCCAGGTCATTCATGGGAGGAAAAGCTTACACTTCCAGGTTACAATCTTTTTTTTTTTTTTTCCCCTTTTGGTTTTTTGAGACAGGATTTCTCTGTGTAGCCCTGGCTGTCCTAGAACTCACTCTGTAGCCCAGGCTGGCCTCAAACTCAGAGATCCCCCTGCTTCTGCCTCCTGAGTGCTGGGATTACAGGTGTGCACCACCAAGCCCGGCTCACAATCTGTTTTTAAGAGAAGTCAGGAAAGAACTCCAGGCAGAAACCCCGAGGCAGGAACCACAGAGAACACTGCTCACTGGCTTGTTCTCTCTGGTTCATGTTTGGTCGGTCTTCTTTTACATCCCAGGCCCACCTGCCCAGTGGTAGCACTGCCCACCATGAGCTTGGCCTCCTCACATCAATCAAGAAATTCCTGTAGGGTAGTCTGATCTGGGCAATCCCTCAACTGAGACTCCCTTTTCCCAGGTGACTCTCACTTGTCTAGAGTTGACAATAAAAGCTAGCCAGGATGGTAGCCCTGGCTGGCCTTGGACTCACTGTGTGGACCAGGCTATCCTCTGTCTTATGATAACCTTCCCAAAGGCTGGGACTATAGGTATGCATCATCATGTCCGGCTTCCAGAACCATTTTAACATCGTACTTGGGAAGGCAATCAGCACGAATTCCCCTGAGCTACTGGGAGTTGATCTTTCTTTAGAAAAACTCTCATTTGTTTAGTACGTTTCTATTGTGTTCCTTAGGTAGGAGATACCCCGAGTGCAGGCCTGACTCGGGATGACCCCAGCAACGGCAGTGGGCTAGACCGTACAGGGACATCTTCCTTTCAGTTTTACACAGCACAGAAGACGCTCTTCATTTGAGATACTTTACACTGGCTGTGGAAACGCTGCGCTGCAGCAAAGGGGAAGACAGGGCGCACATATAAAGACATGTTATCACTACAGAAAGTGAGCACACACCCCAACGGGACAAGCCTCCGAGAACAAGGAGGGGCAGGAGGACTGTCAGAGACGGAGACAAGGAAATAGTGTCTTCTGGACACGACAGGGCCATTGAACCCCCGGCTCAGCAGCAGCTGCTCCGTGTACAGGACCTGCGCAGGATCAGGCAGCCAATAGTCCACCGTGCGGGGGAGGGGCCTCGAGGCCCCGCCCTAGGTGATGGCTGCTGAAAGTCGGTTTCCTCTAGGGGCGTGGCCTCTACTCGGTTGCTCGCACTCCAGTAGCTGCCCTGTGCACATGTGGTCAGCACTGACTGGACTCAGTGGCTATAAAGAGTGCCATGACACACGGTCTTCTGGACTGACGTGGCCCTTGCAATCACAGATGCGCAGCAGCTGTGGCCTCCTGCGTAAGCTGTCCACAGCCCATGGGGGTGGGGGAGGTGCTAATGAGGCCTCACACTTCCTGGGAGACTGGCAGCTGCGGATTCTGGGGTGGGGGCGATTTTCCTCAGAAGTGTGGCCACTGCTAGGTTGTCCGTGCTTCGTCTTACAGTTCCCTATCCATGTGCAAATGACAACCCTCAGTGAATTCAGTGAGCCACACCACACTACACCACACACACGTCACACACACACCATACCACACATACATGTCACACATACCACACACACACCACACACACACACACACACACACACCACACCACATACACATATCACACACCCACACACACCACACATACACCACCCACACATGTCACACATACCACACTACACACACGTGTCACACACCCACATACAACACATACACACCACACACCACCCATACCACCCACACATCCACCACATCCACCCACACCCACCCGCACACACCACACATACACCAGTCACACACAAACCCACCACACGTGTCACAGATACACACATGCCCCCCACCATACATACACACACTACACACACCACACACCACTCACACCCCCCCACCACACACACTCTTCCATACACCCACACACCCACCACACACACCCACACACCCACCACACACACACGTCTCACATACACCACACACACACACACACACACACACACGTTCCCCCACCACACACACGCGCATGCGCGTGCACACACACACACACACATACACACACACACACACACACACACTGGGGATTAGGTGGGAAGAAGGGAGTCAATAGAGGTGGGGACATAAAAGAGGGGAATGGGGGATGATTATGATATCAATATATTGTGTTCATGTATAACACGGTCAAAAATAAAAAAGTAAGAAACAAGAAGTCAATTTCTTTCTACATTCCATCAAAGAATCCATTAGCTGCACAAACACTTTCACGGGAGTTCTTTTACCCCGAGGGATTAAACCTGCTGCTCACTGGCCCCAAATGCCAATCATGCCGCCGGCGTGGGGAGAGTCCCCATTAGCATGTACTTACCTTACTTTGACTAGTTTCCCAGGCTGTATACCAGCTAACTTAGCACTTTCCCAGTAACTCCCGACTTCCTGCTTCCCCACTTGGTGCAACAGTCACAGCTCCCTGCGTGTAGCATGAATTGTTAGAGGGTCTTAATAAAATCAAACCCGGAGCCAGGTATTGGGGTGAACGCTGGAAGATCAGAGAAGCAGAACAAGCCACAGCCACCTCACCTTGCCAGTTCCTCAGCTGATCCTGTTTCCTCAGACCGGAAGCCTCTGAGTCCTCATCCAAATGGCTCTCAGCTGAACTGCTGCTCAAAAGCCTGAAAGCTTAACCAGCCCCAGTTCCTGGTTTTCATGCCTTATATACCTTTCTGCTTCCTGCCATCACTGCCTGGGATTAAAGGTGTGTGTCACCATGCCTGACTGTTTCCGGTGTGGCTTTGAACTCATAGAGATCCGGATGGACCTCTGCCTCCCAAGTGACAGGATTAAAGGTGTGAGTGCCACCATTTTCTGGCCTCTATATCTAGTGGCTGTTCTGTTCTCTCACCCCAGATAAGTTTATTAGGATGCACAATATTTTGGGGAACACAATACCACCACACCTACGACAACACCAGGCACTCTTAGCACGTGCTACAGATACAGCCTGCCGATAATGACAATGTCCTGACCCTGAAGCATCGGTTTGACTTGGGAAGGAGTTTAATGCAGAGCTGGTCCCATGTTGCTGAGTACTTATGGATGCTCTTTGGTGCCCCAGAGAGGTGAGCATGCGCTTAGCGAGCATGGCCTTCGTGGTGGGGCAGCTGTCTGGGCTGGGGGAGTGGGAGGCACAGCTTCTTTCATCTCAGTGGAGCAGGGAGCAGAGAGCTCGGCGGGAAGTATATTCGGCTACAGCATTCAGAGGCCTAGCCATCGGCAGTGACTTACCACCTCTGCACCATGCTGGCCTTGCCAAAGGGCCTACAACCTCTCCTAAGAGCGCTACCTGCTGGGGACCCAGAGTTTAAACACAGGAACCTATGAGGAACGTTCAAACCCTTACAGTTGTCAATTGCTCAGCAGGGTTGTTGGATGACGTGCCAGATATGAACTTCCGTTCACTTAATGATAACGCCGGGCTGTAACCAAATCTTGACAACCAACCTTGGTAGTTTTCCAGTTCATTCATTGTGTTTACCTAAGTCACTAGAAAAGTAACATCTCTGTCTATGTTAGAGTTGAGATGAAAGATGGACAAGAGAAATGCAGCCCCCCCCCGGGGGACCTTCATAGTCTTTGCACAGCTTTTTAAACTTCCCAAACCTTGTGTGGGGTTGTGCTCTAGATTCCTTTCTGTGCTGTGGTAAACACTGTGGCTGCAAGCAGCCTAGGAGAGGAATGGGCTTGTT